GGGCAAAGAGTCAACTGTTTAAGTGTTTTGAAGTCACTGCCAGCAGTTGTTTCTCTCTGCTTCACAGCGAGTGAAAAGGAAAATTTGCGTACAGAAAGTTTTTTCTCATAAAGAACAGAAACTTTAGTGTCAGTACTGGAAAACAAAGCTTTGTAATTAGTTATTTAAAATGAAAAAAAATTCTGACTCAGTACTAATTAGGGACTGTGCAATAGTTATCAGGAGGGGAGGGGGCTGAAAAACTAGAGTTATCTAGCAAAAACTTAGACAGTGCCCCCCTCCAAAACCAAAAAAAATTAGTTCTAACCCCCCTCTGTTATGTTAAAAATAACGTCGCACCCTCCTCCCGCCACCCAGATTTAGACAAAGCATTTGCTAAGTACCGGGGTGCTTACCACATTGGTTCAAAATCTAAAACTTCTGAAGCCAGAAAGAGAAAGGAGCAGAGAAAAAAATCAAAGAACAAAAGATTGAACGCTTCAAATAACAGACGAAAAAGAGCTTGCCTTATATTTAGATCCTTGAGAGGAGAGCCTGTTGAACTTTGTTATGAGCCAGATATATACGGAATTCAGTAAATCGATTCAGTCGATGAAGAAACATTACTTTTATTCACATCAAAAACCGACAAAGCTTGTCTACGAGATCTGTTTGATTCCCATTGTTTTATGGGGAAGCTGAAAAACAAGTTCATGATTTTTGCTTTACATAGGATCAGCTCAATTAATTAGAAGACGGGTTAAAATTGATCAGTTGTGAGTTTGCTTTTCATTTTGATGGAATATTTTCAATAATCGTTTAACAGCTGTTCATTTGTTATTTGTTACAGTCTATCATGATGCCTGTATTGAGAATCTTTTATTGCGTTTAATTTTATTTATATTTCGGATAAAACTTAAGGCCCCCCTCCGTCAAATGAGTGATTTTACTTTAAGCCCCCCTATCTTGGCAGCAATTTATGTAATACCCTCCCTCTAGTTTTTCAGCCCCCCTCCTGATAATTATTGCACAGTCCCTTATTACTTGACAACAGAAAAATGACTAAGTAGTCTTTTCTCCTCGAGTAAGCTAGCTTACAGGCCTTCTATTTCCAAAAAAGTTTTAAGCCCGGCCACAAGTTTGTTCACTAATGTGGGTTATAGCAATATGGTTCTTTGACTGAGGAGAAGGATAAAGCTGGTTCTGCAAAGGTAATACGTCGGGACATGTAAAAAAAGTAACCGTAACTACTAATAAAAGAATACAAGCAGGTTTTACTAATAGTTCAGCCCGGTGTAATAAGGCGAAATCAATTCACAAATTAATCGTGTCAGAGTTAATCGACTGATGCACAATCAGAAAAAGAACTCGGCTCTTTGGAAACGTTCAAAACTTTTGTTCTACCTCAGACTGACGGAATGATCCGTTTTTCCATCAACATTGGTTTTTCTGAATCCAAAGTAATTTTCGCACCTCGTGCATTTCGTTCAGTCTCAGGGCCTCTTCACATGAGCTCGGTTGACCGGGCTGGCCCGTTTCGCCTTGGGTTCATATGAGATACCAAGATGAGAAAAGGCCAAAGATCCTGGGAAAGAGTTCTGGCGCTATATTCGAGAAACAAAGCAAACATGGCGAAATACAAAAAAAATTAACTTTCGGGTCTATCATAGCCTCAGTAACGCTTAAGGCTGTATCACTGCAGTTGAATGGGATGCTCATGATGTGGAAAATACAGCAGGCAATGGAAGATGATGCCAGCCGGACCGCCAGAATTCATTCCGATGTTCATGGCAAAATTTCCAGCCCGTTTAGCGAGATCTCGGGAACCAAGCCAGCCCGCTCTCTCATATGAACACATCGAAAATTTTACAAAGGATTTAGAGGTGAGCTGAGGCAAAATCTCGGAAACTTGGCCAGCGCGGTCAACCGGGCTCAGAACAATCTCTTACCCAGGGCGGATAAAGGTTGGGCGGTGAAACGAGCGCTCCGCTCTTCATTTTTAAATGAAGAGCGGAGCACATTAAAATGTGTGATGCATCACACATCACACATTAAAATGTGTGATGCATTTAATGTAGGACTGGCACGAGCGCTCTTTCCGCGCTTCTGGTGCGCTTCAAGGCCGGCGAAATTTTCCTTTTTGCAAACCGGAAATCCTATTTTCTTTCTGTAATTTCAGGCTACAATGTTAAATAGATAAATTCGTTTCATAACAGTATCAATGAACAGTTTCATATGTTTGTGTCTGTACGTCTGTAAGTCAAACTTGTTGGTCGTATAATGCCAAAATTTGAGTTTAATTTGAAAGTGTTGAATACCTCCTCCTTCCACTAAATATCACCTAATCGTCTTTCGCCGTTTCGTTTGCAAAAGCTTAACACTTCTTAACCTCAATTTTTACATACGTTAAAGGAGGATAAATTTTATATAACATAACAAAAAATTAGATTGATATATATTGATATAGTGGCGTTGTACTTCTTCAAACTTTGCTTTTCAGGTGCAACGCGCTGTTGCGATTCGTTCAATGCGTTGCAAATCCGGCAACCGTATGTAAACAAAATTTATTGAGGTTAGTTGCAAGGTTTTTTCTCCGTTTTTCTCTCTAAAACAAAACAAGGTAAACAGAAAAAACTGAGGGGAAACTAATTTTGAAGTTTCGAAGAAACAGAAAGACGTCTGAGATTTTTTTTTCAAAATTAAAAAGAAGGATGATGGTGATTGAAATTAGCATAATTTCACCTTGCACGAGCTGCACGCATTTATAAAATACACGTCATCTAGTTATGAAACACGATCTACTGTCTTTTAGTTTTGCCATGGATGACATGGATGAGATTTTCCTTCGTGTTTTAGACAGTACTTAGTTGTTTTTGTTTTGGAATAACATCGACATTGGCGAGTAGCAGAACGAAAATATAATATTCAGTCGTAGAGTCATGGAAGTAATAAAAGAAACCCTTTGAAAGAGATGTTTGTGTACTCCGACTAAACCTCCCGCAAAAAATAGCAACATTTGCCTCTCGGACGACAGCGTACCAGCACAAAGGAACAAGGAAGAAGTGCAAGAAAACAATTCAAGCCGCCATAATTCAGTGACAGCTTCAGTTTCTAATGTACAAACCACATCATATCGCAAGTTTCGCAAGCCCTGACCTAAGTCGAAAACAAGCGAAAAAAAAAAAAACAAGCGAAAACAAGCGACATTTCTAAGCAGAGTCCCAGTCCACTGCATCTCATCTTTTTGCTCGGACGCGCTCGTTTCACCGCCCAACCAACGCCCAACCTTTATCCGCCCTGCTCTTACCTCGAGTTCGCCCATTACTGCGCATGCTGACTTGACGTCCTTACCGCTGGTCAAGGGGAACGACGATGCTCCCCTAAGAGGCTAATTTAAAAATTAGCATTCCAGATTCCGACACTCCTCCAATCACTGTCGCTCAGAGCCCTGGAACTAGAAATTCCTTTGTTGCATGGTCTGCATGGTTCATACTTCCACACTGGCTTGTGCTTGAAAACAGCTTTGTTGGGTTTTCAGTTCCCTTTACGGCAAGGTTTCTTTAATTATGAGTTCTCTTCTTGAACCAGTCATAAATAATGACACCCAACAGTACTGTGTGGAAGTAATTTGGCGCGCTGAATCGTGAAAGCGAGTCTTCCGGAAGTCAACCAGTTTACCGGAAACTGTTTCCGCGTGGTCCGCATAGTTCTAAAAATAACTCTTTTGAAATAAAGATATCCCGGCCTACGCCCTTAGACTCCCTCTCTGTCCTATTATGGCTCTTGATTGGGTACAACACTGAGTTAGCCGAATAGGTCTATTCGAACTGCCGACCACAAAATTCTGCACGGCATCGCAAATCTGTCAAACAGTAGAAAACAAGTCATTTATTGAAAGGCTTTCATGCATATTGTACGAGTATGCGAAAGGTTACCAAGATTATAAATGCAATTTCGAATTTTACGTTGCAGTTCCTTTCGACCGCAAAATCTGGCCCGTCTTTGGATTCGCCAAAAAAAACCACACCCTTTAAGGATCGAGCAACGCCCTCAGGGTTACCGGCTTATCTATCTTATTTACTGGCTTATAAATAATCAAAAGTGTTATTTTTTCAACAAAGGAAACCAAAAAAATTCCGAAGCCAAATTCGCGAGCTGGGTGTGTCTTGAGGTAGCCCATTTAATAAAGAGAGTTACTCGATCAGAGCGTATATAAAACTCTGTTGAGCAGCCCCAGGCTAGGTTATTCTCTTGTGCGCTCTCGAATGGGCAGGCATATCGCACCCATCTTATACCTGCCAACTTTTTCTGAGATATAAGCGTGGGATTTTTGGAAGACGACACGATCATTTCCGAAGATCCCCGAAGAAGTCCGAAGTCTTCCGAAGAAGTCCGAAGTCTGCCGAAGGCGAAGTTATCGAGAAAACGCTTATCCACAAAATCAGAGATCGCGAGGAAGGTATTGTCATTTATTCATTTCACACATGATTTTCGTTCCTTACATGGGTCTGAGTTAACATATTATTGGAAATTGTGTCAAGCAAGACGGCAACGACTCACATTTTTCAATCAGGCGTGAGAACTTGGCCCGCAAGCGTGAGCCGGCGTGAGATCGAAGTTTTCAACCCGCAGGCGTGAGACTCACGCCTAAGGCGTGAGAGTTGGCAGGTATACCATCTTAGCCTGTGAACAGCCTTTGGTCAAGCAGGGAACTGGGTATAGGGAAAAGCCAAAAACAGAGAGCCTGTTCACGGGCTACAACCATCTCAGTGCAACAATTTTGAAAACAATACCAACTTTAATATAAAGCACTACAGATCCAAAGTTAATTTTCCCAGTTTCTGCCAATTGACCAGCGGTCGAGCTTTTAGCATTCGCTAGCGTGCGCAAGCGCAGTAAGGGACGAAAAACTCATAGGACCCCAGAGATCACTCTTTTGACCTCCCGTTGCTTTGCTTGTTTTCCAGGAATCTTTCACATTTCGTTGGGATTTTCCTTTGTTTAGCTGTTTTATCATCGCCATGGATTCTGTTCTAGAACCCATCATTGAGACGGGCAAGGAAACGTTTTGTGTAGAAATAATGAAACGCTTGGATTGCCAGCGAAGGAACGGTCATTTGTGTGATGTGATTCTAGAAGTTGGCCCAGGCGATGATCAAGCTCGCTTGAAGGCACACAGAAACGTGTTATGTGCTGCTAGTCCGTTCTTTTATAATGCCCTTAATACTGAGATGAAAGAAAAGGAAGAAAGAGTTATTCGATTGAAAAATTTAAAGAAAGACTTGATGGAAGAAGTGTTGGAGTATTTTTACACAGGTCATATTAATGTCGATGATCTGAATGATAAGGAGGCAATTGAATTGATGGCGGCAGCTGATTATTTTCTTGTTACAAGCTTGAAGCTTCTCTCCAGTAAGTTTATTCAAGAAACTTTGAATAATTCAAACTGCCTTCTTGTTTATTATTCCAGCGTTAAGTATCAATGTTCAGAATTACAAGAGGCCGCCAGAAAATTCATTCTTGCCAACTTTGTAGCTGTGACAAAATCAGACGACTTTCTTAATTTGAGCATGGAGCAAGTTGAAGAGTGGATTTCAAGTGATGAGATCGTTGTAAAAAGCGAGGAAGAAGTTTTTTTGTCTGTCTTGATCTGGACTGAAAAGAATATAAATGAAAGAAAACAAAGTTTCTTTGACTTGTTTCGCCATGTTCGGTGTCTTTATGTACCACGTAATTTCCTCATCACGGTCATTTTGCAACATGATCTTGTCAGAGGACAAAAAGAATGTTTAGATTTGGTTTTAGATTCCCTGAAAGAGCTTTCAGATGAAACGGGAACATGTGTTTTCAAGCAGTCACCCAGAAACTGTTTGGACACCCTTGAAGATGTTGTATTTGCATTTGGAGGTAAAGATGGTAACAAAGCAATGTGTTACCTGCCATCCCAGAACAAGTGGTTTAAGATAAGAGACATGGCATGTACCCGAAATCCTTACGCTTTTGCCACAAGTACATACCAAGGTAAACTGTATGTCATTGGTGGGAATTTATCACACTCTCTTTTTAACAAACAGGCAGTTGAATGCTATGACCCATCGCTGAACACTTGGTCATCTATCCGTTCTTTCCAACAGGAAATTACTTTTACTGCTGCTGTCACATTCCAGGGATATTTGTATGTCATTGGTGGGACAGATAGCTCAAAATGTGTGCTAAGTGCAGTGAAGCGATATGATTCTGAAACAAACTTGTGGCAGGAAGTTTCACCCCTGAATAATGCTAGATCCAGTATCTGTGTGGTAGCTGATAAAAACTATATATATGCCATTGGAGGGTATATAAATTCTACACCAGGAAAATGCCTTGATATTGTTGAAAGGTTTGATCCTAAATTTAACTCCTGGAACAGAATTGCACCAACTCAAGCAAAGAGGAGGAATGCTGCTGGCGTAAGTTTGGAGAGCAAAATATTTGTTTTTGGGGGTGTTGATCTGTCTGGTGGATGTCCTTGTGAAGTTTATGACAAAGAGACAAATGTTTGGACTGAGATTGAAAGTGACATTGCCCCAAAGTACTCTACAAGTGCTGTTCGTCTCCAAGGTCAGATCTTTGTGTTCAGCCGATTTGGCGAGAATCAAAATTTACTCCAAGAGCAGACATTGAAAGTTTATAATACTGATAAAAATGAATGGAAACCTTGCTCTAATGCCTCACTGGGCTCCTTGTTTTATAGGGTTTCTGCTGGAAAGGTTTTGAAAGAAGTATTGCTTTCCTGAAGCACTTGAAATTTTCCCTTCCCTTTCAGTTTGTGACATTAAGGAGTTATGAAGTAATTTGAAGGTTTTTTGCAGTAACTGGAAGGTACAAATTCTTGCCAGTTGATTAGCCTATTACTATATATTGCAGGTAATGAAAAAGATCTGTTACTAAAGTGTTGTAAGTGATTTGTAAAGAGGACCTTTAGTGCTGTAAGTTACCAGTGACAGTCAGTTGGGAAAAATTGTGCAGTTAGAATGCAAGAACATTAAAGAGCCAGTTCTTGAAACTGTCAATTGCCTCTCGGAGGATACAATACAGCTGCTTTATTAGAAAATCTTTCTCCCCCCTTTCTGTGATTAAGTCTCTGTATTTCTTTTCTTGACGTTGAGATTCCATCGTCACAGAGATCTGGGACTCATGATTATGAGTACACTATAAGACTAATAAGCTTCAATTTGAAATTTTTTGCTGCTGTTTTCCTGCCCCAAGTGACCTCCCTTGGGTCTACTATACCTTTCCCACTTAAAAATCTTTGTTCGTGATCTTTTATTAGGCTCAAAAAAGGCATTTTTTTTCCATTTAAGATTTTTCAGAAAGAAAACAATTTGCCTTTGATCCTTGAAAAGCATTGAATTAGTCATTACCAATTTACAGCATAAAGGTCACAGAATGAGTTTAAAAAAACACCAATGAAAAGGATTTGATTTTTTGAATAACTCTCTTCATTCCTCCTCAACAGTCAAGTCAAAGATATATGAGAACAGTGTGCTGATTAATATTCCACATGCAGATATTAAAAAAAAAGGGTCTATGAAAAAAGTACATCACAAATCAGAGACATTAAGAATAATTCAGGAAACAAGCGTCCTATAACTTAAGAGGAGATGGGATATGGAAGCAGGGACATGCTTTCCTGGAAACAGCATTTCTTGCATTCTCTACATCAAAAATAATAAACCTGGAATTCTGATTTCAATATTCGATTTCACAGTCTCATCATTCATGATTCCTGAGCCTAGATATAAATATTTATAAATCTTACAAGGTTTGTATCTATGAATCATGATTCAGCCTCTACCCACCATGAGAGAAGTCTTGTCTGAACACAAATTCATGCACTTTTTAGGCATGCCTTATTAAAACTGAAGAAGAACGAATTTGTTTCTTGAGTTAAAATTCTTGCACATAGACCTATCGGTCAGTCAGTGTTTATAGTGAATAACATGGTGACAATGTTTACATGAAAGTGTTAATTGAAGTGCTCAGTGCATTCTACCTGCAGGTACTCCCTTTTTAAACTAGCCTACATGGGAATACTTTGACCAAAAGGGTTACCGTTTTCAGGTTTCAGGCATATTAATGGTAGGAATTTCCACTAGTTGAAGTACTATGAAAGGGTAGCGGAAAAGCAGAGTACTAGTGCTGCATTCATTATGTATACTGCAGGGGGAGTGGGGGGCAGAGGATATGTTTTAAAAGGCAAAATGTTTTGAGATCCCCCCCCACATCATACAGAAATGGTGGAGAGATTAATGTTTAAAATAGAAAACTAAAAACAAAAGGTAACCAAGGGTTCACAGATTTTTGTGAAATAAAAATTTGCAAAGAAGAGGGTATAAAGGTCCAAGTACTCTACTTTTTAAGGCCCAAATTCTGTGTCAAATCACTTTAGCAACTGAGGGAACTGACTATCTTCAGTGGGGATGCTCTTAAATATATAGACTGTCAGTGAGATTGTACCATTCATTATTTAGAGAAGCAAAATGTTGTTGATTGTGATGATGGGAACGATAATGTTGTTAATGCTGACGATGATGATGACGACGATGATGGTGGAAATGAAGAGGGTACTGAGAGTTTTGGTGACAATGATTAAGTTAAGAACATGCCTTCACAAAGCAAGTTGCAATGTGTTTTCAACAACAGAGGATAAAGGGGACAGGGAAGGCATCCCCCATACACACCCTATTCCATAGGTATTTCGTCTCGAGTTTTTTTTAACACCACAGATCTCAAGGGGGATAAGACAACAGCCAATGACATAGCGCGAATGTGTTCCGCGTAGATGACCGACGCTCAGAGCCACGCGTCCTTCACGAATTGACGCAGAACAAAATGGCGGAATACGCGGAGAGCGATATTGCTATTCGTTTTGTCGACGAAAACGACTACAAAGAGATTTCTGCTAAAGCTGTGTCAGCGAAACGGAAATTAAAAAAGAATCGCCCTTCCTCTCTTGTATAGAGGTAACAGTACAGCAGGGAAATCCTTAACACACTGAATATTTTCTCAGGATCATTTATAATTTACAGTTTGAAGAGAGCAATTTCTGGCTTGATATTTATTTTTAATTTATTAGTCTTTTATTATTTAACAAAAAAAACATTTGGAGTCCTACTTGCTTTATTGTGCAAACGAGCGGTTTCAAAAGACCGGCGAAATTTCTCATTTTATTAAAGCACTGAGGTTACGACAACCTCGAGTTAAACTGATTTCACGGGTTGTCAAAGAGTCCAGCGATTCCCTTTTCCCAGGTGAGCGCTGACTCATTTCGCTTCAATATTCAGGAATGCTCTCGACTCTTTACGCTTTCATTGCCTTTCGCCCGACATGTTTTGCACGGCGTTTAGTCATGAGAAACCTCCACGAAACATCCACGCAGCGCGCGAGGTAACTTTATCCCGATTCTAAAAATAACTGGAGACGAATTACCTATCGAATAGGCTGTGTATGGGGGATGCCTTCTCTGTCCCCTTTAACCTCTCTTGGTTTTCAAGCATAATTTAAATTTGTACAGTTTAATAACATTCGTCGGCAAATTTTAAACTGGTGACACGTTTTTCAAGTTGTGTATGCTATTTGAGCCATCAAACACCTTAAGACATTCCAGTGTTAACTTGTTTGGAAAGGAATACTAACTATAAAATACTTTGCCGGGGCGTAGCCAGCCCATAAACCTGTTAGATTGTCATGCATATGTGGAAATGAAAATCAGCCAGGCCTACAACTAGTCGAAAAGCTGGCTACGCCCCTGCCTTGTATGGCTGTTATGTTAGTTTATAGAGCTCTATTTCAGTCCATTCATTAGTCTTGATTTCAGTGGCTATACTGCTAAACAAAGAAACAACGGCAATTTTCCAGTTAAAGAAAGATTGAACTTTTCATTGAAATTTTGTAGTTGTTGTTGACTTAAGCTAAAAACACTTGACTTTTACATTAATAATGAAAGTCCTGTAAAGAGTGTATTTATAAAGCAAATAGGCTAGCAAACTTTCTTCAAGCATAGAGTAATTAAGATGGTCTTCTTTTATAAAAAAAATCCACAAAACAATGCTTCCTTTTATAATAAATAGAGAAAAAACTTACCAACCACCGCTTCTTCTGTCAAAAATTTTGGTAAACCCCCCATGTCCCATTCCAAAAAATTTGAGAATATTTGTTGAGCTTGTGTCCCACCTCCTCTACCCTGCCCCATTACCATTTTTCGTATGGCCTAACCCATTTTTTCCGTAGCCTAAGAAAATAGCCGACATCACTGGTTTCAAATTTTAAAATTAAAACAGTAAACTGATCCTTACGGCAGGAAGAGTGATGGAAAAAAGTAGAAAGAAAACAAAAATAAAGTGGTGAATTATATTTGCCCGAATATTTGAGTTTGCAACACAAACCTTCAACAGGGGCTATAAAAGAGAGGTGGATACAGATAAAAGATGAAAGTTACATATGGGAAAAGGTAAATGTCACTAAAAATAAATGGCCGCTCGTGACGGCTCCGCCGTCAAATCTCTATATACAACGGCTCCGCCGCCAAATCTCACCCGACCACTACCCAATACCGCCAGCTACGCAGGCTACTGGTTTCCCGGCGAAATGACGTCTCTTCGCGGGAAAACCAGTCGCCTGTCCCAGGCTCTCAGATAGTGGGCAAGACGCGAAAGAGAAAGGCACGCGAAAAGTTGGCGGAGCGGGAGAAAGGGTTTCTTCCTGTTTTGTTTGTTTGTTTGTTTGTTTGTTTTTTTTTTCATGTTCGTGCCTCAAGCAAACCAGCGGCGATAACTAGGGGCTCGAATTACGTACGCGCATGCTTTTTCGCGCGATAATTTCCCTTCCTCTCGTTTTCCTGGTCGTTTACCAAGAATATTTTCAGTTTCGTTGGCTTTTTTCTGTATTCAATAACATCGCCATGAATTGTCTTCTAGAGCCAATCATTGAGACTGGCAAGGAAACGTTTTGTGTAGAAATAATGAAACGCCTGGATTGCCAGCGAAGGAACGAGCATTTGTGTGATGTGATTCTAGAAGTAGGATCCAGTGAAGATCAAGTTCGCTTGAAAGCTCACAGGAGCGTATTATGTGCTGCCAGCCCGTTCTTTTACAATGCTTTTAATACAGACATGAAAGAAAAGGAAGAAGGAGTCATACGATTGAAGGATACAAACAAAGCTTTGATGGAACAAGTGTTGGAGTTTCTGTACACAGGACATGTTGATATCAATGTCAACAACGCGTTCGATTTAATGTCCATTGCAGATTACTTTCTTATTACCGGCCTGAAATATCTTTCCAGTAAGTTCATTCAAGAAACGTTTTGTGTTTCAAACTGCATCATGGCGTATTATTCCAGCGTGAAGTATAAATGTTCAGAATTACAAGAAGCCGCCAGAAGCTTCATTTTTGCCAACTTTATGCACGTGGCGAGAACTGAAGACTTCCTTAGTTTAAGCGCCGAGGAAGTTGAGGAATGGATTTCAAGTAACGAGGTAGTTGTCAAAGATGAAGAGGAAATTTTTACGGTCATTTTGAGATGGACGGAGAAAGCTGTTGATAGAAAGCAAAGCTTCAGTACCCTATTTCGTCATCTACGTTGTTTGTATATCCCACTCAACTACCTTGTTACGGCGATTTTACAACACGAGCTCGTGAAAAACGAGAAAAAATGCATGGATTCAGTGCTTAATTCCATGAAAGAACTTTCTGATGGAACAGATGCATGTTTTTTGAAGCAGTCACCAAGAAGTTGCCTAAGAACCCAAGAGGAAGTCATTTTTGGTTTTGGAGGAGAAGATGGTAACAAGTTGGTTTGTTACCAACCATCTGAGAACAAATGGTACCAGATGCCAGGACCACAATCCTGTCGAAATAGATTTTCTCTTACTACAACTGTTTGCAAAAGTAAGCTGTATGTCATTGGTGGAAGTACTGCAGAATTTACAGTTGAACGGTATGACCCAGTTGTAAACACTTGGTCACCAATCAAGTCTTTCAAACCGAAAATCAAGTTTCCTGCTGCTGTCACATTCCAGGGTTATCTGTATGTCATTGGTGGGTTAGATATGGATGAGGAACCCTTGAACACAGTACAACGATACAACCCAGACACAGACTTCTGGCAAGAAGTTGCGCCAGTTAGTTGTGGCCCGAGGTCTAGAGTAGGTGTTGTGTCTGATGGAAGCTACATCTATGCAATTGGAGGAATGAATTCATTTGACATATTGAATACAGTTGAAAAGGTTGACCCTAAAATGTCTTCCTGGAGTGCAGTGGCAGCAATGCAGGCACAAAGAAAACACCCTTGTGGTGTAAATTTAAATGGCAGAATTTTTGTTTTTGGAGGAGTTTATGATGAGACTGGTGGATGTCCTTGTGAGGTGTACGACAAAGAAGCAAATATTTGGACTGAAATTTCAAATAACTTCACCCCGAGATTCCCAGCAAGTGCTGTGTATTTCAAGGAGCAAATTTTTGTGTTTGGTGGATTTGGTGTAGATCAGAGTTTTTTTCAAGAAATGATATTACAAGTTTATGATGTCGATGCAAATGAGTGGAAGCCGTGCAGCAATGCTTCACTTGGACCATGGTTGTACAAACTTTCTGCTGGGAGGATTTCCAGAGAACTTTTGAATTCTTGTGAATCAATTTCAGTACTTTAAAGTAATGTTCCCTGAGGTCTTTTGAGTTAAATATTTAATATTTTAGTTCATATTTGGTTGGAAACACAATGAGTCACCAAAACAAACAGGGTTTTAGAGGCAATTAATCCCTACTCCAAATGAGGCCTTTAAAGTTCAGCTGACAAAAAAAATAAAATGGGATAAAAGAAGGTCTTTGATTTGACAGATACAGTGAAACCTCTATTAAGTGGACACCTTTGGGACCTTCCCAAGTGTCCACTTAACAGAGGATGTCCTCTTAATGGAGGTTGTAAAAGTTGTGCAATGTTTGTTAGCGATCAACATTCAACAGTTACTCTGTACTGTGATAAAGTTGCATGTTGTTCAAGAAGCTATCTAGAGTTCAAGTTCATTACCTTTCATAACCAACTTTAATTTGTTTGTAAATGCAAAAACATTAACTGACTTCAGAACGTATTTCAAGGATGTAATCCAATACTACTATTGTCAATTGAGTCCGGTGCCTGCTTGATAAAGGTTTTTAACAATAGAAATTAGCCAAATACAACTTATTTTAGTGTCGGCGTCGGCTTAATAGAGTTGTCCGCTGAATAGGGGTTCATTATAAAGGGAAATATAAGACATTAATTTTGGGACCCGGCCTAGTGTCCGCTTAATAGAGAGTGTCTGCTTAATTGGGGGTCCGCTTAATAGAGGTTTCACTGTATTAAATATTTCTTTCCTTTTTCAGAATTTGTCGTAACTAATTCTGCTGTTTGAAGTTTTCTTGTTCTATGTATTATTTATTATCCTTTGTTTCACCCTTGAATTCTGTTTACCGGCTCGTAACCTTTTTTTTTAAGGGGGGGGGGTGCAATCAAACCAGGAGAGAGCCAAAAACAACACTGGAGGCTCAAGTCCCTAGTAAGGCACAGATTACGTTGTCTGGGACTGAATTTTGAGATCTAAAGTCGTGGATATTTCTCAAATATTTGAATTTTAAAGTTATGTTTTGGTAAGAGGCATTCATTTTTAATGGGGGAGGGGTACAGGTAGCTCCTGTAGTATATGATGACCCCCCTCTTCATAAGACATTTTTTGGGGTGGCCCTACCTTGTATCCCAAATTGAGTTTTATTTAAAAAAACGGCTAACCTCTATTAAACAATCAGTTGGCATTCCCACCCCGGGGGTACAAAACAAAACGAATAATTGAAGTGGTCAGTCCAGTGGCGCAAACTGTGCAAAAAAATTGCACAGTTAAGGTGTTTACAGGGTTCGGCTAAAAGTGGAACCGTATCGGTAAAAAAATGTGACTTATTTCAGCTCAGGTAAAAAACTTGCACACTTTGCCCTTTGCCGTTCAAAATCTTGCACGATTCTGCGAGTGCATGCCGTGTAAACGAAAGGCGGAGTAGTACAAGTATTTGTCCGCTCATAAATTTGTCCGGAACCATATAAACGGAGTGTAAATGAGGGTCTTCTCTTTAACTATCTACAGCAATTAATAAACAATCTGTTTTCAAAAACATCCAATAAAATAAATAAGTAACAGTGAAACACTTTTCTTCTCTGCTACAGTCACCAAAATCCGGAACAAGAAATTGCAGTTTGCAAAACTGATCAAGTCTTGCAATTTTTAAAATGTTCAGTCTTGTTTTAACAGGGAATAAAACGTTTATAACAGTTATTCTTCCCGGCTGATTCCCTCAACCCTGTCCACTTTATATCTATCACACACACGATCGTCACTTTTAGCAACCCGGCTTTCACTAAACTAATTGAGTTACTCAATTGGTTCCTTACTATACAGTCTATACATGCATGCCTCCTCAACTTCAACCAAACGTACCTTCCCTTCAACGGTTATAAAAGGAGCAATAGGTTTAATGAGCAAAACAACTGTGCACGTACATCACGCTTTTTTGTACATTTCTTTGCTGTCTCTGTACAACAACGACGTGAAATGACTAGACTGCAAAACAGTCGGTTTTTCCCTCAAAATCAGTAAAGAAATCGGTAACGCGTGGCGTAAGAGTCTTATGCGTGCGAACCGCGCGAGCCTCACACGCCCGTAGGGCGTAGTCTCGCTCTCTGTTTTCAGCCTCGTTCCACACCTTTTGTTTGACTGCTCGCGCGTACTTGAATACGCAAAAATACGGACTGTTTTGCAGTCTATGAAATGACCTTATTTTAAGTTTGACTTGAGTACGGGAACGCTACGATCTGTGTCTGAACTCGGGCGTGGCCCCCTCTCTTGAGCTCCAGCCAAAATTCCCTTCTTTTAAGTAACAGGGCGAATTCGGATAATCGCGAAAACGTTTGAAAGTATGCGAAGTCTATTTTTCAGCGACGTTTTCATGGACGTTGTTCTTTGTCGGATCGTAAGGTCGCTAATTTTGTCATTTCACGTCGCATGCAGTTCTGGTACAGCTAAGAAATTTACAGAAAAGCGTGATGCACGTTCAGAGTTGTTGTTTTTCGGATTAAACCCGTTGCTTTTTTCATGTTCCCGTTGCCGTCGCCGTCATTTATAAGGTCCCTACTTAAGGTCCGACGACGGCGACGGCAACGAGAACGTCAAAAAAAGCGATAGGTTCTTAATTAGCAAAACAACAACTCTGCAGCGTACAACACACTTTTTAGTACATTTCTTTACCCTCACTGCCCGACTACGACGTGAAAATGCCCTATTAATTTGTCAGGTTTTATGGAGGACGTAAACATGGTAAACGAGTGACGACAAAATTTTCTTTCTCTTTCTAAACTTAGATGTGGTTCTAATGAATTCAACTCCTCGACTGCATTTGACAAAGTAACTACTGAGTAGGAATAATCATTTAAGATCGAAAGAGCGCCAATTCACTTTTTAAGAGACATTTTTACCGCCGTCGCCGTCCTCTGGAAGTCCCTGCGTATCTTTTCACGGCGACGTTAATTCGCGAAAGTTAATTCGCGTTCTTTCACGACGTAGTGCTGTGAAAAGAGGGTGAGGCACGTGCAAAATTGTTCTTTTGCTACATAAACGTTCTGCTTGTTTGACGTTCTCTTTGCTCTCGTCATCGTGACGTCTTAAATTCCCTATCTCCATTGTAGCAGGAGTGCTCCTCGTCTTTTCTTTTCTTTTTATTATATTTACTGGTAAATAGGTGTGCGGGTGGTGCGTGGGACACGCACAGGAGCCCTCTCTTTTATCGGGTGCGTAGCTCGTATCTTTCTTCTAGTGCACCGAGGTACTTGCTCCATACCGGTACACTATAGGAATCATATATGAGTAACCTACATTTTATGAAGAATTTGGCGCTGGCCAAAAGGATCGCAGCTCCAGAAAAAGAATTCGACCACGCATGCGTAAGGTTTTGGCGCGTTTCTCTGATTCTTTTAGTTTGTTTTGCTTGAATTTTTCATATTTAAGAGGCCTTTTTTCTGTATTTAACAGTCTATCATTAACATGGATTCTCTTCTTGAACCAGTAATTGAGACTGACAAGGAAACCTTTTGTTTGCAAATAATGAAACGCCTGGATTGCCTGCGAAGAAACGAGCATTTGTGTGATGTGATTGTAGAAGTTGGATCCGGCGATGGTCTAGCTCGCTTGAAAGCTCACAGAAACGTGCTGTGTGCTGCCAGCCCGTTCTTTTACAATGCCCTCAACACGGAAATGAAAGAAAAAAAAGAAGGAGTCATTCGACTGAAAGATACAAGCAAAGCTTTGATGGAAGAAGTGCTGGAGTATTTGTACACAGGACATGCTGATGTCAATGACAAGAATGCGTATGAGTTGATGGCTGTTGCAGATTATATTCTTATTCCAAGCCTGAAGTATGTCTGCAGTAAATACATCCAACAAACTTTGAGTATTTCAACCTGTTTGATGGCTTATTATTCCAGTGTAAAGTATCAATGTGCTGAATTAAAACAAGAAGCCAGGAGCTTTATCCTTGCTAATTTTATAGCTGTTACAGAAACAGAAGACTTTCTCAATTTGAGTCTTGATCAAGTCGAGGAATGGATTTCAAGTGATGACATAGTGGTCAAAGGTGAAGAAGAAGTTTTTAAGGCCATCTTAAAGTGGACTCAGAAAAACGCTCGCAGAAAACGAAGCTTTAGTCACCTTTTTTGCCATGTGCGTTCAACTGGCCTGCACCGTTTGCAAGCTTGTCAGCGATTGGCTGCAAGGTCTCTTCCGGTAGTCGTGGTCGTTATCCAATGAGCAATCGAGAACTCTGATTGTCACATGCCTCACGCTTCCATTCCAACTTGTGAACGAAGCTTCACCGGTTCTTGATCATCTTCTTGAGGTTCGTTTGCTACTAAATTGGGTTTTTTCTTCGGGTTTTCATCTGTTTGAAGTGTTTGGATCGTTTTTGTTCGGTTTTGTGGTTATTAGTAGGTTTTTACTTTGGGTTTTGATCTGTTTTAGCTGGACGTGTGTGAGTCGTTTGTTGTTGTTCGGTTTTCTGGTTAGGTTTAGTTTCATCTTTTTGAGGCGTGTGAATCGTTTGTTTGACGGTTTCCTGGTTGTGTGTGTTTGTTCCTGGTTGGTGTTTGTAATGAGTAGCCGTGGTCGTGGTTCGTGTCCAAGGTGCCACGTTGAATATTTTAATCGTAGTAAGCCCCCTAATTGTGGGAATTGTGGCCATCATCTGGGTGGAACGTTTCAGGGTGCGCGAAAGAAAACAAAGTCAGCCAGCCCAGCAGTTCTCGAAATAACCCAAGGCTTCTTTTCGTGTCGAACGACGGGAAGAGACGATCGATGTTTTGTAACAAGTAGTGGCGACATGTGGTTGTGTACCCACGAGGCGTGTAAGGTCGCGAGGTCAGTTTACGTGAACAGCGATTTGGCCTCCCAGTACGAGTGCGACCACGTGAAGCTTGCCAAGAACACAGACATCGCTGGTCCCCTTGCTACCTACTCACCAAGTATTTTGAGCTACCCGTGCAGCGACTCCGTGCGAGCGAATTTGAATGACGTAGTGTCGTCGCTTCCTCCTGCAACACCTGCGGTAGTGCAAGTATCAGATCAAGTTTTTGCCGTCTTCGGATTGCCCACTGCAAGCAATCCGCTTGGTTATTGTCATGTGAAAAGACAGGGCAGGAACAAAAGTGGGTATTCTTGCACGGCTAAAGACTGCCGTTCCTTTTCATCCAAAGCGAAAGGGTCAACAGCCAAAGCCTTCTGTCTGCATCTGCATCTGTTGTTCGCCTCTTTGGAACAGTTTTCTCCTGCTGAACAGGCAGGTCCTTCGTCCAGTTCTTCCTCTTCTTCTTCTGCTTCCCAATCGGAGCCTGTGGTATCATTTGATTCAGAAGACGTAGAAGACTCGTTGCAGCGGAAATCGACCATTCTTTTAGCGTATAACACACGCAGCTTACCGTATGAATTCCCGCGTCACTTATTGCATTCTATAATGGCAAGAGACTCGTGTACATTGTTTGGTGTAGAGGGATCGTGGCCCAGCTTGTTCCAGCCCTCGGTAGATAATTGTGGGCTCTGCGAATCACCATTGGGACGTCCCATAAATCACCCTGGCCAACAGAGTAACAGCGCGTACCTTGTAACAGAACTGAATCCATTTAAAAAGGTGGATGTGAAAGTAAGGGTGTGTCAAAGCAGGCAATGTATGGCCATTCATCAGCCCTTCCCTGCTGACATTGGTAAGGTTATTGAACTATTTAGTAGAATTATTTATTTGTGACAGATATGCCTGATAGTCATTTTGCATTTATTAGGATTGATTCTTCTATGTGTTCGACATGTGTTCACTGTACCCAGGCTGTGCACAGAGTCTCCTTCGATCTTCCTTAGATAGGTCGGAAAGAGTGCAGACATCCTCGACGATACATTTTAGCATGCTCCAAATTCAAATTTTTCTGTGACTTCAATCAAACCGCTATCGGAGCATCCACTTTGTTAGGAGGCAATATAAACGAGCAGAAGCTGCAATTGAAAATTTTGGATTTGGACTTACAGGTCTATAGGATCAATTTCTCTTTGGGAATCTTAACTTGCCATGTCTCAGTAAAAAGGAGACCAAAAAAGTTATAGCTAAGGTAAAACTTTTGTGCTTTTCAAAATCAAGCAACGAAACTTGAACTCGGAAACACACAAAACAGATCGAAATCCACCAATCACAAATCACAAAGCACTATTTTTATGTTTCTTAAGAGGTTCGCTGAGATGTAAAGGGGAGAAAGTGAAGAAAGCGTTGATTTTTCAGATTTTGATGGATGTCGCACAAAAGTGAATTGTGGATCCGTTCACACGGGTAAGATCGACTGACCTCATGGCCCAAAACAAAATCCATCTCAAATTGGGGTGCAGTTTCCAATAATTTTCTAAAACTGAACGTTCAATAATTCCTGCATGAAATTGAAGCTGCAGTTTGGTTATGGAGAATTAAGAAAATAGGCGTGCATGCACAGATAAAAAAAGGTTTATTCCGTACGAAAATTGTCTTACTCATCCAAGCGCGGGATGATCTGCAAATCAAACAAATTTGAAGATGTTGACGGAGTCGCTTACCATTTCCTGACTTATCTAGGAAAGATCAAAGTGACTCTGCTAGCAGGGTAATTTCACTGGTGTCAACACAGCATAACATGAAGGAGTATTTTTTAGCAGTTTTGCATGATCACCTAAATCGGCGAGACCTTGTCAGTGTGGTTGCCATCTTAAATTAGCCGAAAGTCTCGGCTTTATGCTGTGTCCCCTGACCCCTTGGTCCTGGTTCTCTAAACACTTTAATGGTTCATGCAAATATGGCTTTTACTTTTTAATAGAGACTAAACATTGGATTTCTCTCTTGTTATTATTATCAGTGTAACCACACCTTCAAAGGGAAATAGGACTAAAAGAACTCTCCAGCTGTTTGATTGTCCTCAAACTAAAGGTCGTTTATTTACCCTGCAACTGAAATGCTTAAAGGGCTCTTGATTACTTACCTTGACACAACTTTATTATCTTGACAGGTTTGTTTAACATATGTGACAAGGTTCTGGTGTCTCTTGATATCATGCTTGAATTTCGAGAGTACTTTCGAAGAGGACATCCCCTTGCCAATGTGATCATGTCCAAAATGTCAGTCCTTCGACTAAAGTGCAGGGAGGTTTGTCTGAGCATTTGATGAATTTGATCATTGTGTGTTAGTGGATGCTCAAATGGTAACTATTGTATTGTATCACCAGTGAAGATGTCTTTTGGGTCAGATTCTATGATTGACAGATTAATTGCCCATTCCACCTGCACCCTAATTGTGGTGTAATTGACATTTGTTTTTCCTGTTATTCAGAATGTATAAGATTGATTTTTTATTGTTGAATATGTGCAATACAGATATCAGATTCAATATTACTGAATTTTAAAATTCTTATCCAATTATATTTTTTGGTTCCCTCTCCAGTAAAGTGGAGTGTTTTTTTATTATTATTTTCTAGGAGAACTCTCCAACAGACAGTCAGCTTACCTATATCAAGGATCTTCTCTATAATGGATTTTATTGTTTTGAAATGATCACTGTAAGAAGCTTGGATGATGTTGTTTTATGGTATTTGTGGCATTTGCCCTGAAATTTGTCTTGGTGATGGTAATGAGAAGAATTGTTGTTCTAATGCTCAGGTGCATGAAACAATTTCACTCTTTTAATGACATTAATAATGTGGAACTTCTCTAGAAAAAAATAATGAATATAATGTCATGTTTTCCCATCATTTCAATCATAGTGGAAAAAGAACAGGTATTAGCTTCATCCAAAAAATTTTCCTTGTTGATTTTCTGTATCATTTTCATAGTAATGTTGTAGTAGTATTGAAGAGATGTAAAGAAGTCTCTTTAAAAAAGCTAAGTCAAGGCTCAAGTATTCTGTCATGATTTAATGAGATAAGCTGACTTCTTATAGTACATATCCTATTTTAGGGGGCTTTGTAAATCAAGCCTTTTTGTCGGCTGTTGATGCTTTCTAAGAGAGCGAAAGGTTTTACTGCACATAAAAAATTATAATAATGATGTTATTAATAATATTGATGTGGAGTGGACAAAGTGGAAGAGCCTGCATTAATCCAAACATGCTGCATCTATATTCCCAAAGAAAAAGTAAGCCCACACACTACTGACTGATGTGCTTGTTGCCAATTCATGGAACCTTCTTCGACTCTTCTTAACAATTTCTAGTCTTCTCCCTCTGTCTCCTGTTTGGAGCAGTTTAGAATTTGTTCAGTGGCAGCTTATTTTCCCTTTAATTTAATATTATTATTGGAAGAGTTGTGTGGAAGTCTATGGCTAAAGTTATTCCTGCTGTTAACCGTCTTCTTTACATATTTCTTTTTTAGATTCACTACACTAAGAAAGACGAACCCAAGAAGGACATGATTAATCTTCCAGAATTGCTTCAGAGATTGCGATTTCGATGGCTGGAACGTGTGGTTTATACCAGAATAGCTAAACCGTTTTCTTTGTCAGTGGAAGAAATTCCTCCTCTCATCCCATCTGTCTTGTCTGGAGATGTGATTTTCAATACAGAGGCTGAAAAAAAAAGTGTTTACCTTGAATCTGGTTCAAAGCCTTCAGGTATATAACAAATTGTATTGTGTATGTAGGTATTAGTATGTATACTGGTATGTATGTACGTACATGCATATGTGTAGGTACAGTTGACTCCCGATAACTCAAACCTTCCAAGGAAAATCGAAAAGAGTTTGAGTCTTCGGAGCTTGAAGAAAATAGCCCAGAGTAAGGACAAAAACAATTTTGACAGCACAGTGGACATTTTAAAGAAACGTTAAGTAAAAATTAAACAGTACTTCAAGGTCATAAATCAGAACATGGTATAACAAAAATGTTGCCTAAATAGAGCATTTGTTTTAACTTTGATGAGAAGTACAGCTGTTTTACATCAGATTTGTGCCAAACATTATGAGCCTCCACTAGTAGTAAATGCCTACAATGGAAAATTCAAAATTCAATGTTAAATTACAGCAAATCAATTTTGTTTAGAGTTAGCAAGGGTTCAAGTTTTTGGGAGTCAACTGTATGTGATAAAAATGCAGTTTATTATATTATGCAAAGTTATAGTCCTTTCAGTCACTGAGACAGATGTCTTGATGCATTGGCCAAGCGATAGCCCAGTTATTACAAGAAAATATTGCACACTGAACAGCCAATCAGAGCGTGCATCCTGTTGTATCCATGTAATAAATGTACATAAAATGTAAATTATACCAATGCAATTACATATTTCAGGTGACCCAGCAATGTTACATAAAATGATTGTGGATGGCAGCATAGACATGGAAAACCTGCAAGAACTTCAGTATGATGATGTGGTCAAAGCCTGTTCTTCCTGTAACATTGCAACTTCAGGAAAATCAAAGGTACTATATAACAACTGCTGTTGGCCTTTTTTTAAATGCATTTGAATTGGCACCTATATGTGTTAGAAAGTAAAGATTTTTGCATAGCTGTTAAATCTGAGGAAATGGAATTTCTCTTCCAATGTGGAATAGCAGTTTGTGGGATACAGCTACTGTATTGCTTTCTTTAAGTTTATTTTGTTTGTCTACACAATAGTCTCCTATGCAGTTGCTGTTTGGGAAAGTACATGCTATAGTGGTTGACCTTATTTTTTTTTCAATCAACTGATTTACAAACAGTATTATGATATCTCTTTCAGCAATTCTTGTGTGGGATGCTTCAAGGACTATACGCTTCAATTCTCATAGGCAATTGCCCTTGTCATAGTTTTGGAAAACTGCCTGGACACACTGGAGGATTTTACCATTTAGTGTGCCGTCACGGGGTATGTAGTATGATTTTCAGTTTAGGCATTATGGTGGAATATTACTCGGGTTTTAATAATATTGTCATGTTTTGGCATGGGTAGTTGGCTCCATTTCTGACTCATTTGCATATGGAAAAGCATGGAGAATTGTAGGTGGTGACAGGTTGTGGAAAACAGTATCACTGGAACAAAAAAAATTGGTCTCTGACAACAGAGTAATTATTGAAAAGGTCAAAACATCATTTCTTAACTACCATTAATTTTTGAGCCTTACCCTACTTTGTTGTTTTCTTAAATTGGTATTAAATACAAACGAAATCATCAACAGTGTCCCTTTTGTTTTTCAGAGCACTGTGGCATCAAAATTCCTTTCTCTTACGGAGTCTGTAAGGGATGCTGCAGATCTTTACCTGTCACTGAAACATCCACCTGTTGTTTTCATCAATGATACTCCCTGTGGATTTGTCCGCCATATGGAGTGTCGTGATCCAGCAATTGCACAAGAGCTGTGGGGTTCCACAGCAGGGTGTTTTCAGACCCCAACTCTTCACCAGGATCCGGAAGGGGTATGTGCCTTTTGTAATGATACAAAAACTATGTAGGGGCTGGAGGGTGGGGTTAAGGAAAAAAGAGCCCCATTGCAACAATGTTTCACTGGTTTGATGAGAATCAGATTCATTATTTTGGATGCACAATGCTGGTTGGTAGACATTTAATTATCGATGAAGGCTTTCGTTGGCTGGCAATGGTGAGATTTGTCCTCTCGAGACCTTACAAGAATTTTCCAAAATATATGGAAAGTGTCCTTTGAGGATTAGAGCAAGAAGGGGATGAAAGTGCTGGGTAGACATTCCTTCTCCAAAAGCTATGGAAAACATGTCTGAAAACATCAGCTGCAGACATGCTGTTGGCACAATATATTTGTGGATATTTATCACAGCCTCATTAAGAGCTTTCTGTTAAAAATCCCTCCCAGACAAAATTTTGAAACAAAGGAATTTTTTATGGAATTAAAAAATATTAATAAAATCAAATAGTATTCTTTCTGATTGCAAAATGTAGCCATTGCTTAACCTACCCTTGTGGCATAATGGACATCAGAGGTCAATTTCTGTGTGTTCTGCAATCACTGCCATCTCCAGAATTTTATCTTGATGTATGGAAGTGTCAGACATGCATTATATTCCTCTGAGCTCTTGCTATCACTTTTTGATATAAACTATTCTAGTGGAAAGTGACCCCTGATTAGTTTTATTTTGTCACTGCCTGCATTTTTAGCTCCTTTTTGTATGTATAGTGGAGGCAGAAAGAGGGACAATACATATCTTGTGACAAATTTGTTTCCAGCTGGCGAAAAATTGAGGTGGAAAAAAAATAGATGTTTTTATCATACCAAGACAAGCCTAGTACATTTTGTGACTGGTCTACTTTTTCCATGTTCATTTAAATTTGTCGTTTGTTTGCTTGGTTTTTTTAATATTCTAATTTCTGACAATTTTCAGAACCAGAATTTTCCTTGCATTGTTCCTTTGGAGTACAGTGATGGCAGTAATATTCGAAAGCAGTCGAGTGTTGTTGCTAGGTCACATCCCCTCATAGACACCACCAAGCATTTTGTACTTGGCGACCGATTCCACGCTTCAACAAATCCTCATCAGTCCCATCTGTGTAAATTCCATGACCTTGATTTGTGTCTCCAAGCCAACACAATCAAGACAAGTATCCAGGAGTCCCAAAACAACCGAAAAAAAGAATCAAAGGAGGCTGAGGAGTTCTACAGTACAGAATTTTGAGACACATGTTACCTTCAACTATTTGATGGATTTTTATCAAAACGAGGAATTGGTTGACCGACAGCAAAAAATTTTGAAACAAAGGCTGTCAGAGGGTCAACATCTAACCAGAGACAACTGTTTAAGGTTTAAAATTGTATCTGAATAGATTTCATACCATCAAGAACTATCTCTAGGTAGGGCCTATTTATGTCACTTTCTTATTATGCTCGCATTATTTTGAGCATGCTAGCAGGGCAAAAGCATCTAGCACAACAGCATTATGGCAAGAATTTGGGTATCATTAAAAAGGAAAAATCGGTCTTAAGTGATGAAATTCACCTATAAACAGCCAAGCGTATATATTTCAGAGGTTTCAAGCCAAAATGGAAGAGAGAGCCTGGACCTAGTTAATCATGAGCAGCCGCCATTTTGTTTTCTTGATATTCCAGCATTCCAGTTACTGGAAATTTTTGTTTCTGTTATTGTGTATGGATGGATGGAACTTTCGAGCATTTTAGCAAGGCCATAAGAGCAAAATAATAAAAATTTTGAGCATTAGCATAATGGCCAACAAAGAAAGAGTAATGTGCGGAAGCTCAATTCATAACCAGTGTCCTCTACAAACTATTATTTCAACTATGTACAGTAATATATGTACATTTCGCATTGTAGAATTTCCTGTTGCTGCAGAAGTTTTCCCTTCCAAGGATAGAATAGAAGTGACTAAAGGGGTCTTACCTACTAGAGTCATCTTGAAAAGGGTTATAAATAAGTTTGTGGTTTACTAAGAAACACCTTTCTCTGTAACAAATTATTGTCAACTTTAGAAGTATGTGTTTCTATGGGAAGGGTCTGGAAACGTTTCAGACCAAAATATGTGGCGATGCCCTCGCAAGCACATTGAGGTATGGGTCACTGCATGCTTAATTTGATTGAGTGGCATTTGAAAATGATTGCTTTCATCAGTCTTGATGAAAATAAGGAAGCAAATTAAAAGCCAATGCCTTGACAGCAACATTTTGTGGACTTGTTTTTTTAATTAAATTTATATGTCATGTGTATGAGTAGTGATATTGACCATCAAGTATAGGGTTAATGTGGTAAAGGAAATGAAAGAAGACCAATAATGTTCTCAGGCAGCATTGTTTTTCTCTTAGACCGAATATTAGGATGTAGCAATGTATGTATGTGTACCGATAAGTCAAATAAGGCAAACAGGTCACATTATTACAAAACCCTTGACTGACTTCAAATAAAAATGTCTCATCCCATCAGACAAGGCTAATTGAGGAACTAAACACTTTGGCTGACAGTTTGATGATTGTTATCTGTAGGCTAGGCCAACTTTTCCCTTGCCCCACTTGGGAAAACTCATTTTCTGACATCATGCATATGGTGGTGAGGCCCATGGGATGAATAGACCACATATTATGGCAATGGCATATCCTAATATATTTATATGAGACATTGTACTTGGAACTTCTTGCACCATTAATGATGTTTACTGTGGGGGGGGGGAAAGGTCTTTTAGGCTTTCAATTTCTTACTAAATCTCGGCAAAAGAGCATTTTTCTTAACCCCGTTTATTAACCAACTTCCTTATAACAAAACTTGTCCGAGTCTATGTAACAGGGGAATCCTTTGTGAGGTACATTTAAATCTGTGAACTTTTCGTAGTTTAATGCATTCTCTGTGCGAAAAGTGAAAACATTCTTATATGAGGAAAGCCTATTGCAGCATAGCTAAAGAAATATTGTTTCCAATATTCTTACCCAGATCATTACTCAAAACTTTTTTTATGTGCAGGTTTGTTTAGTTCCTTTTGTAAGCCTTTCAAGTCAGTGGTGCTTGTAAGGCCACATTAGTAGAGGAGGCTGTTTAGGAAACCCAGCAAACATAACAGTTAGAAACGATGGTGCTTTAGGTAATGTTGGAAGCTCCCTGATGAGGCGGAAACCTTTGTTTCTTATTGTTAAGTATCCTCCCTCCATATTGCCAAATTACAACTTGTAGGTACGATTCTTGGAGAACCTGTTTGCAAGTTGATGACAATAGAAATTCCACAGTAAACAAGTAAACAAGAGCACTTAGGCCAAAAAAGTTTGTTTTATTTTTGTCATGGCTTGCAAATTACAAACATTACAAAGTATTGTGTTCTTGACTTGTGTTTCATATGAGTACGATGACAAGCCAACTTAAAATATTAATAAAATTTTGGTGAACACTGAAGCTACATTTCGGCTAAGTTTTTGAGAAGTCATCCATTACACTTGACTGACGCTTTACTTGCAAGCAATGAACTAGTGTTTGTCAACAACACCTATCATGTGTTAAAGTGTTGACATTTTGCATAATAAGCACTTAACATACCAAATCATTGAACCTGTCCCTTTTGTTATATAAGACAGTGTTTGTATCTTCGCAGCAGGTCACTAAATATTGAATGGGTTTTTTTGGCCTGCCACCATTAAACACCATTTGCGCATTTCACATTTGTCTTTTCTCGATAATCTTGGCGTCACAAACATGTGACCGCAATTACAAACCCTAATAAACTTTAAGGACGTTACATGATTTTCACTATGACTTATATTGGTTGGGAAAACTACAACAACATTGCTTCAATTCAGAAAACTTAGTTTTTCAGTGAAGGGATGGGGTCTAAATGACGAAAATCAGAGCATGGGCCGTGCCTTACCAAAAGAACAGGTAGTTTTCTAAACTTTCTACATACACTTAGTAGGAGTGTCATTTTTTGGGCCTAACATTTATCATCTTTTGCCGGACAGTTGCACCGAATTCCACCGCTGGTACTTTTTTTACATCAGTACTATTTTTTAATTTTCTCCAGCCAAAGCTGATTTTTATGGCTTGCACTCTTTCCTTTTACCAATAATTAATTTTCCACAGCTACTTGAATGTCAACTAGGCAAACTAGTTAGTACAAAGCTTAATAATAGATGTCATATCTAGGGTAATATTAAACGCAAAATTTACACTTCCAGACTTCTCTTTTACTTGGAGTGGCTTTTAAATCAGTACACAACCTAAAACCCAAAAAAAAAGAAGTGAAATTCAATACTATTCTTATGTTTACATGTGGAAAAAACACATTGGGCATTGAACACATTATTAGGATTTAATACAAACACATGAAACTTGAATGAGATGATTGTTATTTTGAAAAAAAAAACAACACTCAGCTCATGGGCATGCAGGAAGATTAGTGTGTTGCTTTTTCTTGACAGAGCACCTATGGGGTCAGGGGCGAAGGGGGGCTCTGGGGGTTGCCTCTCCCGTGGGGTTTGTTACTATTTACTTGTTAGTCAATTAACATGCCGCTTTGGACAGATCTTCTGATTTTTCGACGTCAAGCTAGGGAAAGACATTTGGCTAGACTTACACATGGAACCACTTTTGGCAGTTGTCACAGCTCACCCAGGACACTTCTTTTTTTGAACGTCTTGCTTTCTTTGCCGGGGGAGATTCACTCTTGCAATCTTGGCAGACATCTGATTAACATAACATAATTAATGTTTTTAATTAAGCACAGTCAATGTAAAAAGCATGATGTCCCTTACTCTAAACAATAACATTTTGCATCTAGTTAACAGGTTTCCATGCTGGGTCTCCACGATGCTAACAACTTGGGCAGTATTGTTTTATACATACCTGAATCATCTTCTGTTTTTTTTTCAGCCCTTGTTCTCTTTAGAACCCCCACAGAACCTTCAGCACAGTTGAACAGGGTTCTCCTAGCGACTGGCACATCAACTATAAAACCGACAATTAGGATTAGAGGTGGTTATACATCCAAACCACGGTAAAGGTTGTCATTATTACAGCTCCTAAATGTAAATTGGAATTTCGAATGATAACACTGGATAACAATATTTCTACCCATTTGTCGTCTGTATCAATAATACATCTTTCCTCCATATTTTTAACAGGAAAGAAAGGATTATCATCCCTTTTCTTTTTCCTACTTAAGTGTCAGGAGCATAGCCAGCCTAATAAACCTGTAGCCTGGGACCTACAAATGTTTGGTTTGATCACTCTACCTCTTGTTGTAAATTAATCTCAACAGAATAAGAGGTTAAAGAGTGTTGGTGAGGACCAACCAGTAAGCAAGTAAATTTTTGTTGTCAGCTTTAGTTTGTAAAAGATGCAAGACATAAAGTCCTCCCTTACAAAAAAGGGCCTGCTAAGAAAAGGAATATATCTGTTTTCATTTTTTGGTCACATGATTATGTTTTCCCTTTTTTTCCAAACAATGCAAAAACTTATCCCATCATCTCACCCCTCAGCTAGCTTCAAATAATGGCCTTCATGTGTCAAAAGTGTACAATTTCCGATTTATACTCATGATAAATAGTTTGTCAATAGAGTTCAAATGTCAGTCAGTGTTTGAGAAACAATGATTTTCATTGGCTGGACAAAGTGATGTTGAATACTACATACCTGAGTCAGTTCGGCTTATGCTTGGAGTTGCTTCCTTCCATGCACAAGCACCTGCAGTCTCAGCTGAATCTACAGTAAAATAAAACTTGTAATTATGTGAATGTTAATTTCACCAACAATAAAAATATTTTTCAATAAATTGCCTGGATACATTAGTAAATCAGAAGTCTGACCAGAGAAAGGTTTACTGGTTTAACCAACTGTAAAGCAGCAGTCGAAACCACTATCAATCAAACAAATTCACAACTTTACTTTTCTGTCTGGGACTCATGAGATATTACATATGTCATAATATGTTCAAACTCAAGTGGAACTAGGAGCTGAGTTGTTTCAATGTTGCATGCTAACATTCAGACCACTTGAAAACATTTTTAGAAAATGGAAGTTGTCAAGTGTCTGTGCATGCGTACACTGCAATACTGACAATGGCAGAAGGCCGAACAGCAAACGAGAATTCAGAAATTTATAACAAAAAAGCAAGTGGAGTAATTTGAATAAGAATATCAAGGTAAACAGGTAAAGAGGGAAAATTTACCTGAATTCCTAGTAAAAGAATT